TTTTAAAAATCTTACTCAAAAACCATTCTGAAATTATATCCATTTGTCAAAAATTCAATAGAATATGCAACTCAATATTGCTCGAAATGCTACATATTTTATATAATTATGTTGTTAAATTTATGCTAATGCCTTAATTTTCATACGGAATTTGATTCTAAATTTCCCAAAATTATAGACTTTGCAAGGTATAAAATTTAAGAGATTCCAAAATATGAAGCAGGAAGATCCACCTAACTTTTCGTTTTATTTTAAACATATTCAAGAATTTTCTAAATGGTGTCTTAATTTGACAAAATTGCTTATTTCCGTTCCAATTTTTGTCCTAATATGTACCCACCTGGCAGGCTGACTTTATCCGGGATTAATCCCCTGCCACCCACCCGAGGTAACAAATTGATATAAATTTGATATAATTCGTTAGAAGACCGAGTTTGCAAAAATTTAGTCATGAAATGATAAAATTGTAGTTACTAAAATCTTCAATTTCATAGCTAAAGTCTTCCAGTTGAATTTAATTTTTTTAACTATTTTAAAACCGAGTTAGGTTTTGTTTAGAATACTTCCAAAATTAAGATGGCAAAATGAATTGTTTGACTTACTCATTTTCGTAATTCTTTAAATTTTGTGGATATATATATCTTTTCGAATTTGAGAAGTCGATCTTAATAGCTAGTTTCTAAATACACGTTTTTGAATAATTATAGTAAACGGGAAAAATATCAAAATTTTGGTGGGCTTACAATCCGTTAAATCAATTTCAGCATAGATCTCAACGTTTCGTTTTACAGAGGGTGTTTACAGATTTTGTGGAAAGATGATTTCATGGGTAAACTGCGAACCTATTTACCGCTTTGGCGCCAAATTTCGAACATGCAATCCCCAAGGTCACGGTCACATATGTACCAAATTTCAAATTTCTATCTTCAAAAATGAGCTCAAAAAGTGACCTCAAAGTAGAGGAATTGGTGAAAGGGATTTCCAAACAGCAGACATTTTTTTATCTCTGCCATTGAAAAGGCTTAGTTCTAGGCATCCAAGCCCAAAAAAATTCATCGGACTGGTGTCAGGTTACTTAAGATGTACCCCTGAAAAAGATGTCGAGGTCATTCCGGGGTTTTCCTTTAAATCTTGACCGTCCGGTTGGATAATTTCGGCCGTATATGAAAATGTCGCGTCGTGATGGATGCAAACTTTGTCAGGCTCTTCAAAATGCTTCTTTGCAATTTTGACCTCGAACAACTTATGTAAAACATTGTCCATAAAGTACTTCGAGTTTATTTTTGAATTAGACCCAACAGGTATCAACGTTAGCACTCCACGGTCCATCGTTGCATCTACCACCAGGAATCAGTCAGACAACTTTTCCTTCTTTTCAGACCCATGCTTTGAAATCTGCTTTCGGTCGGTTTTGCAGCAAATTATTTTTGTCCCGTTGAAGTTTTGAAGGCAGCAGAGTGTCCCGTCCAATGTGACGACAAAGTCGGAATTTTTATTCCCAACATGACCTTCAAACAGCCTCCGGCTGTTAGTTTTTTTGTTTACCATATGGGTAAATTTAAGTGCGCGGACTATCGCCTTCCTCTGCAAGGCTTTTTTAAAATTGTGCTATAAAATACGATTAACGTGTCCAGGAGACACCTGGGATTGCATTGTGACCTGTCTTTTGGTTGCAGGATTCTGATTGCCATCGTGGGGATCAATGTTCTTGAGGGTGGCAGAATTCATCGTTTTGAGGGGTATGCATTTCGTGGTATACGTTGGTCGGATGAAACTAATTACCGTCGTTTTATTACAAAATTAATACAATTATATGTGGGGGACACGATAAGATGGGTTCCAGATTTTTGGATTATCGTTTGGGCACTTTTCGCCGCCAAATTAGCTTCGGAAACCGCTTTTACGGTTCGTCCACTTTGGGCTAACTTTTAGGCGCCATCTTTGAAGATATGAATTCGAAACTTTGGGCAGATGTGGTCGTGACCTTCGAGATCGTGTGTGCCAAATTTGGCGCAAATTGGATCATGCGTTCACAAGTAATCCATGTAATTGTCTTTCCACAAAATCTGTAAACATCCTGTAATCGGGTGATCCGTCATTCGGTTTTTGGTGTTTATAAGAACACTTCAAAGGTCATGAATAGAGGGCTGCATTGCGATAGACATGCAAAAACATATTCGCAGAAATATGGATAATGCTTATTTAAAACTTAAAGGCCATATGTAAAATATAGCGGTTTATTTGTTAAACTTGTTTAATCATATTGTAGATTTCATTAGTAGGATATTAAAAACCCGGTGTTAATATTGTCACCGAACGGTGTGTATACATATTTAATTTTACCAAGCGGTGATAATATTTTTCACCGTATGGTGATAAATCTTGCTCCCATAGAGTCACAATAGTCACTCGGTGGTGTTAATTTTATAACCATTACATGACGATTAACACTGGGTTATTGAGAGTACTTGATTAATTCATTAATGATAGTTAAATCATTTAATTAAAGGGAAATTAAAATGTGTGCCAATTAGGGATTTAATTATGTCAGATTTTTATAACGTAGTAAATTTATGACAATTTATTTTGAAAAAGTTCTGTATCAAAAATTACGAAGAAACATTAAGTTTCTTCAAGACTTTTTGTCTTCAAGACATTTTACGAAAAATTCGAATTTGTCGAGTTTACAACTTCCCTCAAAACGAACGGATAATAAATTGTGGTCATTCAAATTAAAAAGTAAGGGCGGTACGTCGTATGACTATTTTTGTGAATTTGTATATATTATGTTACACTGTAGATCGGGTAGGGATCCTGTATAATTTTATTAATCGATTTTTACCTAGTGATTAAATAATGTTTTATTTTACTTCGAAAAAGAAAAACTTAAATACAAAAATTTCCAAATCATTTATCATTTTGTTCCAATATCGAGTAAGTATGTTGAACTTTTTCATACTAAATTATGCAATTATTAACACCGGCATGGGTAAAAATTTAAAATATATATATATGAACATATATACTATAAAGGATCATGCCATTCTAAATAGATTTTGTTTTTTGCTCTGAACTTACACCAAAAATGAATTTATAATATATTTAAGTCAATTAAAAATTGCTCATTACATAAATATCTGGGTTAAATGCTTCCCTTCAATTTAGAGTAACTTCATAAAATTTTGAAAACTATTATACACATGTAAATACATTCTTAAAAATCTGAGCAGTTATAAAAGTTTGAGTAACATAAATATCCAAGATCACCTCGTTTTGTTTCCCTTCTATAAATTAGTCACTTCGCACCTTAAGATTATTATGATCCACTTTTTTTTACTGAAATGTATTTACGTATGGATTTGTAACATGATTTTCTTTGTAAAGTTTGGCATCTTTATGATGATCTTTCAAAATTGTGCGTATCTCCATATCTAGTAAAATTTGCAAAATAATTTGTACAGTTTTAGATATAAAGTTTACAAATTTTCGACTGAAATGTTTTAAACTAACGCACATCTGTAACAATTAAGAAAAAAATTAATTTCGAAATGTTGCTATTTATCGTGACACTAATATTCAGGAAATTATTTAATGGTGCATAAATCTGGAAAAATTTCACTTTCAATTTTGTTTAATCTCACTCAAAAACATCCAGAAATTATATTGCTGTTATTAATTCTAATTAAACGAAATTGCCGACTCAGTGTGCTGTTGGAATAAATAGGTTTGTTACCCGAGTTTCTTTCGTTACCTTTGTAAATTTACTATCTTACGTTACAAAGATTATCGTGAAGCGCTTTATTAAATATTTTCTTAAGACAAATATTCAATTCCCCAAAGAGTGTTCGGCGTGGTTAAGAAAGACTTGATCAAGGTGAGAAATTCTGAAATAATACATTCGCCATTAAGCTAAAAGTGCGATATTTTGTAAAGTTGTTAAAACAAGGATTTCCCTCCCCACATAGTATTTTTTATAAATATGCCTAGATTGCTTCTTTAATTTGAATTTTGGGACAGAAATTGAACCACAGAAATTTCAATTGGTGAAATCAAAAATCATCATTTTGGGATTTTTTAAAAATTTATACGAGTAATAATATGTTAACTTTTTGTGGAGACAACTTTCCTTTTATTTTCCATGAATATATTGAAAATGTACTTTTCTCAAGTTTAAGGTACCACAAGAGGTTGAATATTTCAATTTTTTCTGGACTTAGCAACATGATTTTTTAGAGAAAATGAGTCAAGACATGAAGTACGGCTCCGCATAACAACAAGGGCATTGGGGCATTTTTAAGAGCTCCCCGAGATGGAGGGGATGGACTTTAAGGTCATAATGGTTGTTATTTGGAATCATTATATATTTCTGCAGGGTGTATAATCGGTTTGTGGGCTCATTTGTGTCTGGTAAAGAGATGTGAACCATTTTTGTCCTCAGAAACATAAAATAATATGGAGGGGCAAGTATAGAAATGCTATTTCGAAAAGTATGGAAGACAATATGGAAATGAGACCCATTATGCTCCCCAAGTAAAACTATTTCGCACGATGTGGGAGTCGTCCCACGTTTGTGCTCCGTATGGTTTTGACGCTAGGACGTTTTAAAAAAAATTCATCATGGTCGACTATTTTGGATATAAATACGTAAGTATAAGTAACAGCAGAAGGGGACATTTACCAAAATTTAGAGTAGTAATTTTTTTACAAAATTTATATTTGAACCAAATTTCTACCTACTATAATTTCTGAGAAAATTACAATCAAACTGAGTGGTATAATTCCTTGCCAACTCTCTTGTGGTACCTTAAAACTGTTCTGCAAATTTTTAAAATTATGTTCGGCTGTTGGGTTTACATTTATGAAACCCAGCTTTTTAGATTAAATATTAGTAAGGTCAAATGAATTTGTTGGCAAAGCATTTAAAAATTGAATTAAAAATAATATGAATAAATGAATTTTAAATGAATGAATAGTAAATGAATGATAAATGAATGAAAAAGATGAGCAGAATTTGGTGGCACACCACTAAAAAAGTATACTGACAATGATGATGATAATAAATGAATTATAAATGAATAAATAATGCACGAATGAATAAATAATGCACGAATGAATGATAATGAATGATTTCCACACAGAGGAAATGTACGGAAGTCCGGTGGCCATGTGGTTTTAGTTCGAGCCTTGCATTCGTCCGGTTTGACGACTCCGGGGTTGACTTTTACCAGTGGCCGCTCTACGGAGAACCCGGCGTTAGGGATACCGTCTACCCGGTTTATGAACCACTCCGATACCCAAAGGTATTCTACACTCTTAAAAATAATAGTAGCCTTTTTTCAAAAGAATATGCACTCCAAATTTTATATTAGAATAATTATACGTACTCAATCCAGCGTATAACTTGATCTTTATTTAGCTAACGTTACTCTGGATTTATTTTATTTTAACTGATTAAGAATTCATAATGTCTTTACTTTTCAACAACGTAGCATTATTTTTTAGAAAACAGCTTAGTTTACATAACATAGTAAAAAAATAAATCGTAGTCTACATATTCAATTCTCTGATGAAACAAGGAACAAACAATTTTTTTTAAAGGGGCTACTAATCTCGGCCAAGAAAGCTAATAGTTCTGTTAATTAAATGCTTAAAACCAAAAATTTTAGCAAGGGTTAGTTGTTTCTGGATAAACAGCATAGAGTAAAATTAAAAAGCGAAATTAACACATTTCTAATCTGAAAGGTTGTTTTTGTTTGCAGGCTGGCCGTGATAATCCCATTGTTTCACTTCACATTCTAAAATTGGATGATCCCACTGCCATTCGACAAGTGGTCTACCCTCCCGGGCAAGATGTGGAGTAAGAGTTTCCAAATCTATTCATTTACATATACTCAATATTTAGGATACATATATGCGTAGATCAAACACATGTTGATCGTCAAAAACGCCTCTACACTGCATCCAAGGTACAAACATAGCACCGATTTTTCTGATTCTAATTCTCACGACAGATTGCAATATTACATCGCCACCATCACGTGGGCCACAGCGGACCAAGTGATTATTCAAAACCTCAACCGAAACCAAGATAAAACGGTTTGGAACCTTTGTAGCGCGGCAAGTGGGATTTGTTCCGAGGTAATGACAAGTATTTATATAGGTACCTTATAATTTTACGGTATGGAGTAGATGACGATGTATGTATTTAATTCTAAATATCATGCAGTGATTTGAATTTAGTTTCCGCTTAAAAATAATCATTCAAGATGAAATACAGAGACCGTAGAAATTTTAAAGTCTGAAACAAATCTCGATTTTCGTGCCAATTTTTTTTAAGACTTAATATAATTCCCGCTTAAAGAATAATCATTCAAGATAAAATTACCAGACCGTTGACTGTGGCAATCTAAAAGTCTAAATTAAATTTAAATTTTCGTGCTAATTGATCTTAGACTTTGCTTTAACAAACCCCTTGTACAATAGGTGCTTGAGAGGTGGGCGACAACTCCTGTCGGTTGGTGGGACCCGCATCGGCCCCTCGTTTCTCGGGACGGATCAAAATTCCTCACCTTTGTAAATGCCCAACAATCCACGGACCCTAACAAGAGGTTATACCGACACGTGGTCTCCATCAATTCGGTCCCGCCAAATCCGGAATTGCAACCCCTGACGGAGGGTGCCTTCCATGTGGATGCCATCCTTGGCTGGGATGTAGATAACAACAAATTGTGAGCATAAAATTCAGTCTAAAAATATTTTTGGGAAACATGTACTACTTAGTCAATTTTGTGAAGGTTACACAATTTAATAATTATGCTTTTATAATTTTATAAAATAATAAGGAATTTTGACGATTAATAGACAGAAATTTCGAGTTAAGGGCTTTATGTAAATTTTCGTGCACGAGCTAAATATATTGTTAGATATATATTGCTAAATATATTTAGTCCTTAAATCCTTTAATTCACATTACAAAGTTTACAAAATTACAGAATTACAAAATTACAAAATTTGGACATGTTTCTTTTTAATGTAAAATTATCTTTGCAAACGTCCAGAAATGTAAATAGTATCATAAAATTTTGCGGATTTATATTTTTCTCTTAATCTTACCAAATTTCGAAGTCGACAATTTTTTTCCGAAATTTCGCAATGTTCGCAAATTTCTTCAATTTCCCCATCACTAAATTAAATGAAACGTCGTCACAGATACGTTTCCGGGACTGGATTTCATCCAGAAACGTCTCCGTTGGGAGATCCTAGCGAACGTCATGTCTACTCCATTGCTACCACTGGACCAAACTCGCCCCCAGAATGTATCAGTTGTACCGTTCTGACCAGCACGAACGAAGAATGTCGCTCGCATTCGGTTTCATTCAGCGCAAATTTCAAATTCTACATGCACACCTGTCGAGGACCTGGTGTTCCCGAGGTCACTACAAGATTCACTTCGGTGAGTGAAAATTAATTTTATTAATTTCAGTTTAGGTGAAGGGGCCGTCCATAAATTACGTAATGCGAGAGGGGGGAGGGGGGTCTAAGGCTCCAATAATATCGTGCCTATGTTACACATGTTAAAGGGGGGAGGGGGGTCTAGAAAATCGCGAATTTTGCGTTACGTAATTTATGGATGGCCCCGAAGTTACAATACAAAACTTTCACGTGTAAAACTCAGATCTAGGTGGGACAAATGTTCATCATAAAAAACGGATCCCTATATTTTTCAAATTTTCAGAAATTTGAATTTGAGGCTCTAATTTTAAACTTTTCAATTCAAAACATCGGATTTCCCAACACCTGTAATTTTTGAATTTGTGTTGGAATTAAAAGGTACTCTATTTCCACGGCAAGTTGAACCCGGAGATATGGGAGACTAAACTCAGTTCAACGTTAATAAGCATGGGCCGGGATTTAGTCTTCCATATCTCTTAGTTCAACTTGCCGTGGATAGACTATATGTTATCTTTTGTCTCGAATAAAGTGAAATTGGTCCCAGGTAAACCTGAGTTGGACAAATGAAAGACCTTAATTATGAATGCTCCAAATTTTGCAAGTGTGGAAAAATTATTTGCAATCAAAGTAAACGTTTATAAACCGGGCAGCAAAGTTAATAATCCTCAAGTTGATAATTTTCTGAAAGTCGATCACCAAAAATGAATGTTACAAAATTATTCGCAATTTTATTTTTACTCCACCCAGAACAACTCAATCGCTTCTGTTTGGAACGACAACGCTCTAGTTCGTGAACGACTCGCAACCAAGCTCCTGCCATCCTTGAGGGAAATGGAGGTCGACCTTCCACTCAGTTACAAGGCTAAAGTCCGTCTCTATTGTGGGCGTTGGTCTTCCCGTGGGCGCTTGGTAGGTCAGAGGTGAGTGCAGTCGGGACGGACTGGGATGAATGTTCCGGAAGGACACCACACAGTTTGGGGGCGTAAGGCCGTATGTACGATCGGCAGCCCCACTTATGATGTGAGATACACGAAAGTTAATGTTTTATCGGATTTAGCACTCGAAATCGGTCACCGAAATATAATATGCGTCACCCCGAGAGTTATTGTTTTTACATAGCAACTAGTTATCAATTTATTTTACGTAGCCGTAGGATTTTACATTTAGGTATTAAGAAACCAAAATATATTTAGAGGTTGTAGATATTATAGAATTATGGGGGACTTTTAGGATGGCAGTTGTGGAGAGAGGAGATACGTCTTGGTAGACGCCGGAACTCCGTCTGCCAGGATTCTTGGACAGAAGACAGTATATGTCCTTGTTGAAGGAGACGATGTCCTTCAGTCGATGTATGGATAATTTGGAGTGACTGGCCGGTCGAGATATCAATGTATGAATATGGAGACGAGGAAGAGATAGGAGGGGAGGATGCATATGATATGCATAGTTCCCTCACTATCTCCCGCCTAATTTTGATGAAAGTAAACAATACCCACTTCTCGTGGAAGTGTAAGTTTCCAAATTTCAAATCAATTTATTTATCAATTTATAAAATTAAAAATCTCGACATTATGTAACCACGTAGTTATGCGGGCCCTGATTCGCAGAAAATCACGCAAGATTACGGCATCAATTGGGGTTCATATTTGGCCAGTTCGAAAGAAGTAATTTTCGCAAATATCGATGGCCGCGGTTCTGCAAGACAGTCTGCAGAACAAAAGTTTGCTGTTTACAGGAATTTAGGATCTGTTGAAGTTGAGGATCAAATATCGGTGACAAAGTAAGCTCAAAGTTGTTAATCGTGGATTTTTCGTGAATTCATTTTTACTCTAATTATCCAAAAAATTAGAGTTTGATTAAAACCTAATGCTAAATTGGGTGCCCTTCTAATAAATAAATATTTTAGGCACCTTATCAACACCTTGAGTTTTATTAACCCGAATAAGACGGCGGATATGCGACGGCAATGGTAATTAAACTTATGTGTGATTTCTACTGAAGTACATAAAACCTAGATGTCCTAGAAACACGATAAAAGTTTTGTACAACTCTATGAAACCTGTGTAAATTTATACAAAGAAAATTTTTCGTTTTAGGCGCTTGGAAAAGACAACGAGAACGTGTTCAAATGTGGTATTTCCGGCGCTCCAGTTTCCAGCTGGTTGTACTATGGTGAACTAACAATAAAACAGCACAACCTACCTATATTAATTAAGCAAATTTTGTGTTATTGGCTACACTACGTCGGATGGTTTTCGTAGTATTCCACACCACCGTCTAACGTTTTTATGTTTTTATATATCCAGATACGATTTACACCGAGCGATACATGGGGCTTCCAACCGTTGAAGACAATTGGGAGGGTTACAACCAATCCTCCGTGATGGCAAATATGGCAGGAATTGCTAACAAAGAGTTTCTCTTGATCCATGGCAACGCAGATGACAACGTTCACTACCAGAACTCCATGATGCTGGCGAGAGCCCTCGAGCAGGCTGATATCTTATTTACTGCATTGGTTAGTTAAATTGTCCACTTTTCTTTCATTGATTTTATAGCTATACATAGTCCGTGGTACTGATTATAAAATTTTATAATGTAGAGTTATCCAGAAGAAAATCACAGAGTTAACGGACCCGGCATGCAACGCCATCTTTACCACTCATGTAAACATTTCTTAACCAGGAACGCCTGCTTTGGACCACTTGGAAACCCATGAAATGCTTAAATTTATAAATATACTTAGCGGGTAGTGACATTGATTGATATATGCTAACAGTATGTATGCTTAACCCCAACTAAATATCATGCAAATTTTTTGCTTCAGGAATAAATAAAAAGAACTAAAAGCAATTTACAAAATATGTAATTCGTTTCCAAGAAATTATTTTCTACTACACTGATTTTGATCATTTATAATTTCCTGGTATAGTAATGATTAAAATATTTATGCCACGTCATCGTTACTAACAATATGGAAATTAAATTTGTTGCATATTTACATAGATAATTTTAGTCTCGTGGAAACCAAATCGAGAAATTTCTAAAACATTTACACGTATTAATTAGTGCCAATAACACCCTTGCGGGAAAAATCTGCCCATTGAGTACATTACACGTACTATCAAGATGTTAGATTACTAATGGATACGCTTAAAGCTAAATATTCGATTTGAATTAAACCAGCATAGAAATTTTAATTCAACACCTTTAAATATGTAAGATTCGTATGGAATGGAAGCTTGTTATGAAACACTGATACGGTAAATTATTTATTCGGTTCTGATTTAGTGTCCCTGATGCTACTTTCCGCCATTGACTTGACACTAGGTAAACAACTAGTGCTCCCTACATGTATTCCAAACCGGAAAATCATTACGATTTCTCAACTCGTTATAACCATACCCCGGCTAAATATTTTTTTATAAAGCCCGAAATATTTATTTTATATTTTTGAAAAAAATGCCAAAATATTTATTAAAAAATATTTCTATTCGAACGTTAAAAGACTCGTAAATTCAAGTTTCAGCTATAATTCATCACTTGGTACACAAATTAGGCCGAGATAATTAGATTTTAATTATGATCATCATCATGCAAAAGCGCAAAGGTAGAAAAAAGTTAATTTTAAGACTTGTTGTCCGCATTGGCTCAAAACACATTTGTATTTTCAAAATACTTCGATTATTTTGTATTTAAATACAAAATACAAAATACGAATTTTGTATTTTCAAAATACAATTGTATTTAGAATACATGCATTTTGACCATCCCTGGTTGTGGGGCTCTATTAAAATGCAAAAAGTGTAGAAGGATTGGACTCCATGGGGCCCATTGTGTCCACCACACCCACTCGAAGGAGTGCAAGCTGCGAAAATTGCCGCACTAAAATCATCGCCAAAATTTGCTCAGATTTTGAAAATATTTACTTTTTTTAATTTCAGATAGTGCTCTATCCAATAGCAAACTCAGTTTTTTTTCTTAATTTCGAATTTTTTCGATACATACCCATAGTCAGAAAATTTTTTACAATAAAGAAAATTTCAAAAAAGCTGAGTTTGCTATTGGATATGATAGAGCAACTATCTGAGATCACAAAAATGAACTTATTTTCAAAATCTGAGCAAAACTCGAATTTTGGCGATGATTAAAGTGCGACAATTTTCGCAGATTTCACTCGTTTGAGTGAGTGTGGCGGACGCAATTGGCCCCATGGCGTCGAATCCTTCTTCGCTTTTCTATGGTCATAGAGCCCCACAACAAAGGAGTTCGACTACTTGAGACCTTCTCCTCGTCAGCTTCAGGTTGAAACCTTGAACCGATGTTATTGCATTTCTTGTCGTTCCTTCATGTACACATTGGTGTAATGTCATGAAAATAAGAAATTACGAAAAAGTAAAAAAAAAATCAAAAAATTCAAACAAAAACATTAAAAAATCAAAAAAATACTACAAAAAACCAAAATATCACGAAAAAAAATATATTTTCTTAAAAATGACGAAATATTGCCAAAAATATTTATCTGTATATTTACGAAAAGTCCAAAATATTTTTTTTAATTGAAAACATTTTTGAATTTTAGATAATCACAAGTGTTGATAAACAACCCTACAAAGTTTGGAGGTCGACGTGTTCGAAATGAAAAAGTCAAAAATAAATAAAGACCCGGGGTATGGTTATAACTCAAATAGAATGATGCTTTGTGTTGTTATGACTACAAATTTCAGTTGCTTAGTTGAATGCACATACAAAGTAGACAATCGAAACGAATTTTATGCATGTTTACATGTGTAAATAATTTATAATAAATTGTCAAATGCGAAATCGAACGAGCTTGGGTGTGATTTGTGGGGTGATTTATTTTTTTTTGGGTTTTTAGATGGTGCAACAGATATTCATCGAATTATCAAATCATACATATTCATATGTAAATACTTGTTAAACCAGGTTTGAATAGGGAAATTATTATATTGTAACCTAGCAATATCTTGACGAATTATATAATTAAAGTATCAAAATCATTATTTAAACGAAGATAAAATTAAGCATACAGTTCGTTATAAAAAATAAACACCACTGTTACATGAACAAGAATAAATTATCCGTAAATATTGCAATGTGTCAACTTTAGTATTATAACTAGGTTTCAAAAATATCCATTAAATAATAATCTTCAGGAAACAGGAATGAATGTACCAATACATTAAATCTATCTACATATTTACAAATAAACCGTGTCTCTTTAATTAGTTCCAATTTTAGCGCTTAACTACGTTACACACAATTCAGTATTTTTTTCTAAATATCTATTGTTTTATTATTTATTTCATTTTGCTATAAGTACTTCCTCAAGAAATTTAGAAGGTTATTGTAAAATATAAATAATTAATTAATTCATAGAGATTTAGCCAAACCAGAAAGGCTGTCAGGAAAAATTTGGTTCACCTCCATTAATTAGACTTGGGTTTAAATATATATGATTATAAATAAATGTCATGCCACAAATGTTTAGCACAACTTAATCTCTCCAATTAGAAAACGAGAGGTCAAAGTCATCAAGATCGATTATCTCATATGCTGGCGTTGTTAGAGCCACATTTGTGGTGGTGGTGGCGAGGTCATCTTCAGTGACAGGTGTGTTCGTTGTGGGGTCATTTTTAGTAATCGGGGTGGTTGTTATGGGGTAATTTTTAGTAATCGGGGTGTTTTTTTGGGGGTAATTTCTAGTAATCGGGGTGGTTGTTGTGGGGTCATCTTCAGGGGCTGGGGTGGGGTTATTTCCGGTGCTGGTGGTCGTGAGGATTATTTGTGTTGTTGTGGAGTTTTCAGTTACAGTCGAATTTGCGTCTCCAGTTTTATTTCCATCGTGCTGAAAATGAATTTTGCAATCCATCTCATCTGACCCATCTTCACAGTCCACGTACGAGTCGCACATCTCAAATTTGTAGACATACTGAAGGTCCGACTTGCAAAGAAAATGGGATCTCACGATCCAAAAAACACGATCTCATTGTATATATCTATCTTAATAATATGGAAAATGCAATTATTTTGCAAAGTTCAACATATTGGATAATTGGGGCCCAAAATCGAGACAGCGGCCAAATTCTAGTCCAAAATAATTTTTAAAATTATTTCCAGTGATATTTGACCAAGTTTGAACGATTTTGACATAAAACTCAAAATTTGCAAAAAAATTCGCACATTTTGGCTCGTATCGCGAAAACTGACCATGCGCCCCCCCAATATTATTTCAGATTCTTTATGTACACAAAATTACGGAAATTTTAAGCCATCAAACTTTCGAGTGCGAAAAAACACGATCTCATTGTATATATCTATCTTAATAATTTGCGTAGTTTCATAAAGTTTACAAAAATTCGATATGGGAATGCCCCAATCCTAAAAGTTGTTTGCCAGCTAAGAAGATGAATCTGGTTCTTTCTTGGCACAAAAACAGTCTTAAAATTGTTTAATAGCGCACAAATCTGACAAAATTGGGTCGTTTGAATGTTTCAATTCTACCTCAGAAACCATGCAGAAATTATATTTCTGTTAGAATATACCTCCTCAAAATTTACCGTGTTACTCGAAATCCTTTACATATTTGAAATAATTATGTTATTAATTTTTTATTTTATTACGCAATGTCATAATTTGAATTGAATCCAAATTTCCGAAAATTATAAACTTGCCAAAGTTTAATTTCATGAAGTACGCAGATTGCAAATATTTGACCAATCCTAAGCTTTCTTAACTAGGCAGTATACAGGGAAACCATCTAAATAGCTTATTGGTGGGGTAAGGCATACTCTTTTTGTATCTGGCGTAAAAACTTCACATAATTATCATTACGCAACTTTTACATTTCTTAATTGCTCAAAAACTCATGCAGAAATTATGTTTAGGGCGAAAATTAATGAAAGGAGTACAATCTCGAAATTCAAGTTGCACTCAATCTTTCCAAGTTTTTGTACCGATTTCAAATCGAAATTTTCAAAAAATTGGAAACTTTACAAAATTTAAGTAAATTATTTCACAATTTCAAGATTCATATTGCCACACATTCTGTCCTCATGCCATGAACTTCGACTTTGCCGGATAAGGCCTTGTCATCGTTGTTATGATAATGATGATTTTCATCAAGACGGAATCCAACCCAAGGTATTTTACGTTATCTTAAAAACGTGATGACCGTGTGCGTATAATTTGACGTTTCATGCACTCAAAATAGGGTAGTAATGAATCATTACCATGCGGAATGACTATTTGTCTCTACCAAGTCGGTTACGATTTGTCGTATAAATGGTAATAATAACTTCAGGGAAATTCAAATTCATTACCAAATATTAAGGAAGTGAATACCATTATGTATTAAATTTGAATTTCCCTGAACTTATTATCGCCATTTCTACGACAAATCGTTACCGACGTGGTAGAGCCACATAGTCATTCCGCCTGGTAATGATTCATTACTACCTTATTTGAGTGTGCATTTTGAGGTCAATTAGAAATGTCATTTTTCAGTTATTTTCCTCAAGGTGTCAGTTTAAGATGAGAAATTCTGAAATAAGAGATTCTCCATTGAGCCAAGACATTTTGTAAAATTTGTGATTTTCAAAGTTTTATTAAGTTTACAAACATTCGTAATCTTTAATCCGTCTTGAAAAATTATATGACAGAAAACAAGTATCTTAATCTTTATTGGAACCAAAACAGCCCGAAAATTGTTGAATGGCGTACAACTTACAATTTTGTGGCAGACATTTTTTATAAAGTTTACAAAATCCGACAGAAATGGACTCTTGGGAATAATCTAATTT